CCTCTGTTAGCAGGAAGTGGTTCAGATCATGGGGAACTTCAGCAGGCATCTAAACAGCCTCAACGTTCAGTCAACATGTTGGAGTTTGGATAGATTCTAAGAATAGATTGGTTGTTTTTCCAGCCAATCCAACTGGATTATTTTAGTTAGATCAAACAATGTAATGATCCAAAGCCGCTGGTTAGAGATGTAACTTTAGTTTTAAGGGGTGTTGCTTTCTAGTGACCACCGTCAGTTGGATGACATTGACTTCCATTCCTGAGGTTGATAGTTTGAGCGCCGCCTCAGACTTTTGAAAGTTGCAATAGTACACTGCCTGGCCAAAAAAAACGGAGCTATTTCCTAAACAACCATGTTGAAAGAATATATATATATATGAATATAAATAAACTGAATTGAATTGAATTGAAAGACACATCCCATGGTCGTGGAAAAGATGTTAGTCTGTCTGAGAAGGGTCAAATCATTGGCCTGCATCAAGCAGAGAAAACATCTAAAGAGATGCAGAAACTACTATAATTGGGTGAAGAACTGTCCAACGCATTATTAAAAACTGGAAGGATAGTGGGGACCCATCATCTTCAAGGAAGAAATGTGGCCGGAAAAAAATCCTGAATGATGGTGATCGGCGATCACTTAAATGTGCGGTGAGATCAAATGGAAGAAAAACAACAGTAGAACTCAGGGCTGTTTAATACTGAAAGGAGGAGCATTTCCACACGCACAATGCGAAGGGAACTCAAGGGATTGGGACTGAACAGCTGTGTAGCCGTAAGAAAACCACTAATCAGTGAAAAAAAGGCTTCAATTAGCTAGAGAGCATAAAGATTGGACTGCGGAGCAACGGAAGAAGGTCATGTGGTCTGATGAGTCCAGATTGTTCCAGAGTGATGGGCCAATCAGGGTAAGAAGTGATGCACCCACCATGCCTAGTGCCTACTGTACCAGCCTGTGGGGGCGGTGTTATGATCTGGGGTTGCTGCAGTTGCTCAGGTCTAGGTTCAGCAACAGGATGAGCTCAAAGAATGAGGTCAACTGACTCCCTGAATATCCTGAATGACCAGGTTATTCCATCAATGGACTTTTTCTTCCCTGATGGTACAGGCAGATTCCAAGATGGCAATGCCAGGATTCATCTGGCTCAAGGGTGAAAGACTGGTTCAGGGCGCATGACTCATCATTTTCACACATGGACTGGCCACCACAGAGTCCAGACCTCAACCCCATTGAGAATCTTTGTGATGTGCTAGAGAGGGCTTTGGGCAGCGGTCAGACTCTACCATCATCAATGCAAGATCTTGATGAAAAATTAATGCAACACTGGATGGAAATAAATCTTTGACATTGCAGAAGCTTATGGAAACAATGCCACAGCGAATGCGTGCCGTAATCAAAGCTAAAAGCGGTCCAACAAAGTGTTAGAGTGAGTGACCTTTTTTCTGGTGGCAACTTTTTTTTTTTTGGCCAGGCAGTGTCCTTAACAAGCATTCTAGCTAATGTGGCTAATTTGTATTGGTTGCCCTTCTACAAACATAGACTGGGTAGAAACACTAGATTGGTCGGTTTAGCCAAAGGAGTAGTAGAACACATAAATACCAACCCGATTAAAACCAAAATCTGTGGAAAAACTATCATGTTTGAATGAAAATGACTAACACCTTTCATTTTGCTCATTATTGCCCAATTTGCACAAAAACTTCCACTTTCTGCTTGAGCTCATTTTACTAAAACTGCAAAAAAACAGTGAATTAAATGATTGCTCTTATCTAAGACATTTTACACACAAAAAAGGAACGCAAGATTTCATTATACAGACCAATGATGAAATATTTCAAAGGAACTTAAATGGGAAAAAGAAAAACAATTGCAAAAAGTCCCAGAATATATTACTAACTGCCCATCATCACCAGTAGGTGGCGACATGAAGCTTCATGAACTGTGGGGATCATTGAAGCAATTAGCCCATTTCGCAGCGTTCTAGTCAGCTCCACAGGCGGCCCCGTCCAGGAAACACACAGCCAGGCAGACGAGCTCCGAGCCAGCTCCCATGTCAGAGGATGAAGAGAGCACATCCAGTTAGTCACAGTCAGAGAAACAGGACTACACTGGAAAAATAATATGAATTTCATTTCATATTGACTCTTAGTTTCCTGTTACTGTAGTTATTTTAAATAAATCCTACTCCACAAACATCCTTATTCATATGTTCACATTTATGGATTGCAACTAAAAATATCAAACATTTTCAATTTAAAACACAGATATGAAATAATCCCTCATAGCGAAGAACAACAAGCTTAGATCATTATAAATCATCCAATCAGTGTCAGTTTAGTCTTTTAACCCCTGAAGCCTGCTCATGTTGATCTATTTATAGAAATGGCCAATACACAGTCACACGGTGTTTCATCCACACGCCTTTCAAATTGGGTTAAAAAATTTCTGAAACATCCTTGAAAATTATTTTTTTTCAAAAATATTAGTTGTTTTATAGCTGTGTAAACAAATAAAATGAGATTTAAAATTCTACCTGACGTGTGACTCTGTGGGAGTAATGCAACAGCAGGTATTATTTTTTAGCCCCGCCCCCTAATGGCTGCCATCACTGGAAACTAGAGGCTCAGACCTTTCCACGGGGGTCAGAGGTCATTGTGGGACCATTTCAGGGGATGTAACCGCCATGAGTTCCATAAGCTGCTCTGTTTTTCTTATTTTCTATTCAGTTTGGTGATTTTATTGGTAAATTTCAATGAAACAACTAAATCTTTGGACCAAAGGCTTTGCCTCATGCAGAAGGTCTCCAATGATGGAAATCAGCATATTTGTCTGACCAGATTCACTTTTATGAAGAGAAAAATGCATGTTTGCATAAGCTGGCCACTTCTGGCACCGCTGCCTGGCAAACTGCTCACTAAAACCTTTATGGAACAAACATGCTTCAACTGATTCAGCCCAAATTTGCTTGAGTTCTAGTCAACATGTGGATCTACACTCACTGGCCACTTTATTAGGTACACCTGTCCAACTGCTCGTTAACACTTAATTTCTAAGCAGCCAATCACATGGCGGCAACTCAGTGCATTTAGGCATGTAGACATGGTCAAGACAATCTCCTGCAGTTCAAAGCGAGCATCAGTATGGGGAAGAAAGGTGATTTGAGTGACTTTGAACGTGGCATGATTGTTGGTGCCAGAAGGGCTGGTCTGAGTATTTCAGAAACTGCTGATCTACTGGGATTTTCACGCACAACCATCTCTAGGGTTTACAGAGAATGGTCCTAAAAAGAAAAAACATCCAGTGAGCGGCAGTTCTGTGGGCGGAAATGCCTTGTTGATGCCAGAGGTCAGAGGAGAATGGCCAGACTGGTTGGAGCTGATAGAAGGGCAACAGTGACTCAAATAACCACCCGTTACAACCAAGGTGGGCAGAAGAGCATCTCTGAACGCACAGTACGTGGAACTTTGAGGCAGATGGGCTACAGCAGCAGAAGACCACACCGGGTGCCACTCCTTTCAGCTAAGAACAGGAAACTGAGGCTAAAATTTGCACAAGCTCATGGAAATTGGACAATAGAAGATTGGAAAAACGTTGCCTGGTCTGATGAGTCTCGATTTCTGCTGCGACATTCGGATGGTAGGGTCAGAATTTGGCGTCTACAACATGAAAGCATGGATCCATCCTGCCTTGTATCAACGGTTCAGGCTGGTGGTGGTGGTGTCATGGTGTGGGGAATATTTTCTTGGCACTCTTTGGGCCCCTTGGTACCAATTGAGCATCGTTGCAACGCCACAGCCTACCTGAGTATTGTTGCTGACCATGTCCATCCCTTTATGACCACAATGTACCCAACTTCTGATGGCTACTTTCAGCAGGATAATGCGCCATGTCATAAAGCTGGAATCATCTCAGACTGGTTTCTTGAACATGACAATGAGTTCACTGTACTCAAATGGCCTCCACAGTCACCAGATCTCAATCCAATAGAGCATCTTTGGGATGTGGTGGAACGGGAGATTCGCATCATGGATGTGCAGCCGACAAATCTGCGGCAACTGTGTGATGCCATCATGTCAATATGGACCAAACTCCCTGAGGAATGCTTCCAGCACCTTGTTGAATCTATGCCACCAAGAATTGAGGCAGTTCTGAAGGCAAAAGGGGGTCCAACCCGTTACTAGCATGGGGTACCTAATAAAGTGGCCGGTGAGTGTATAAAGTCTGAGGGTTCATCCAGAGTTTCCATGGTGTTTATTTTGGAAAAAAGATTGGGTCAGGCTAAATATTTTCTTTTTTTTTCTTTGTTTAATGACCTATAAATCAGACATGGTGACATTTATATGGAAGAAAAACTGTCTCATTGAAATCTGCCTTTTTTTGTACACTGATTTTTTTTTTTTTTTATACATTAAATTCCTTACAATGAATTTCTATCTGGTGAAAATTCAGCTGCAAAAATGTTGCCTGCAAATGTTTCGACCTTCTGGTGAAGTAAAGCCAAAGCAATCTGCAGTCGAGCAGATTCTAACCAATGCAAACACATTTACAGCTGAACTTTTTTGCATTTAAATTTTTACCAGATATAAATTCAGTTTAAGGAATTCAATGGAAAATTCTGTGTAAAAAAAAAAAGAGGCAGATTTCAATGAGACTGTTTTTCTTCCATACATTTAAAATAGTTCTTCCACCTGAAAAAAATATTCCCCAATGCATTTCTGTCACACAAATACAAATAAATGTATTTCCATTTCATAGTTTGGGAGCTGAACTTAATTTCATTCACATATCATATGTGAATTAAAGCAAGTTCAGCTGCCAAACTGTATCAATTAGATTTCTGTAACTTCAGGTAGAATTTGCTCCCAAGAGCCTCAGGGCTCAACAAAGACAGCCTGTAGTGGCTTTAAATGTCCAGCAGGTGTCAGTATTCAGTCAGTTTGTTAACATCTCTATGAACCAGAACTTCATCCGCTCCGATTTCCACTCTCATCAACCGAAAGGCAGTTTGTTTATTTCTTTTATTTTGGATGAAAATGATGCGAACAGAAGAGAAGACGACAAGAGGAGATGTTTGAGAGTTAAATATAAACAAAGCAGAGTTCTGGAGTCAACAGCCAGACCGTCCTGCTGCTCTAATCCACATGTTTGATGCCACAGATTCTGGGATCCTTCATGAACTGAGGATGTTTGTGGGTCACCGGCATGAAACCTGCAGGTCAAAGAAACTATAATTACCATCTGGGATCAGAACCAAGAAGCAAAGTGGATCAAATGGTCACATTCAGAGTTCTGAGCAGAGATGGGTCGGCTGGTCGAACTGCAGCTGCACAATCATTGCACTCTGCAGACCCACTCCCACAGACGACACCTACCCAGAGAGTGGGCCTTCTTTATGGCTTTGGACACCTCCCTCTGCTTCTGTCCACATAACCCTGAGGGACACAGAGACACTGAGTGAGAGCGTCCATCACTACTGGCCGGCGGCGGCAGCAGCGGCGGCGGCTCACCTGTGATGTGTCGGCCATAGATCCTGCCTGTGTGAGGAGAGATGAACTGAGACAGCAGCTGAGGAAGGAAAGGAGGGAGAACAGGTCAGAACACAGAAATTAATAAGTCAGTTAATGGCTGGACATTCTAGGTAAACAGATCTACACTCAAACCCGGACCGGCCATGGGGAGAGCCGGGAATATTCCAGAAGCGTCGGCCTCGCCACTTAGGCCAGCAGCATGTGAGGAAAGAAAGATGATTGGTTTATTTAAAGTAGCACCCGCCCCCAACGCTCAGAATCAACCACACGGACAGCAGCGTGTGGAGGAGGGGGTGCGTGACGTGTGACTGCTGCCGGGTATGCCCATCTGACAGGTGTTCTGTCAGATGGGCATACCCATACAGGGCTAGATGTTAACGGGGCAAGTAGTTTTTATTGTCGGTAGAGTACAAATTTTATTGCATTTGCCCGCCGGGTAAGTGCAATGATCGCAAAAAAAAAAATGTTATCACTCTAAATTACTTTAAAATCACCGACATTCGATGAAAACGACCCAGAAGTGTTGCCGGCGCCATTTTTGTTGTTTTGTACACATTCTCGCGTGATTCGAAAAAGCTGCGTGATTTTCCGCCAGATGGCGTAATTTTTGTCCAGGAATTGGCAAGAATCAGACGCATTTTTTTTTTTTACTCAGCAGGCTAAAAAACAACAACAAGGCAAAAAACTGTAAGTAGAGTAACACACCCACCACCCATTTCACCCACTACCCTGATAGTCCTAGATTAAAATTATGGGTCAGGGATTAGGAAGATTGGCATAATTGTATGCCATGCGCACAGTATAAATATGGCTATCCTATGGCATCTTCTGTACAGTAATGCAGGTCATACATTAAAAAATTTTCATTCATTTTTTTCTCTTAGAGATTGGAGAGGTGCATTTAAATGTTGTAGAGCTAAACATGTTAGATTGGTGACCTGTTATTATTATTGTCTTGTTGCTGCATTTATTTTGTCAGGGAAAACTAATCCTGAGTCCGTTAAAAGTCGGGGAATTCTGAAATGATGTCAGACTGTGGAAACCCTCAATAAAATAACTATGTATAATGATTCTCTAGAAAAGTCACATTATATTAATAGTATTATCTTGTATAAACATACCGTGACTCTAAAATAAAAGTTATTCATTTGTGACATTGACTTCTGTCTTGTGATTTATCTTAAGTTTTTAAGTTTTTTTTTTAGATTTTTAACATTACAATTTATATTTTTCCAAGCACACAACAGTTTAAAGCAAAGTTTAGTTTGAAAAGAAAGTGCAGGAAGGATTGAAAAGCATGTTAACACGGTAATGTAGGCTGGAGTTCATTATCTGACGCATGCAGATACACACCAGGAACCTGGAAACTTAAAAAATACTGAATTACAAAAAACATTTAAAAAACAAACATGTTTCATTGATATATATACAAAAATGAATATTAGGAACTATATTTGCGTGCGTATTGCCTATGGGTATGCTGGTCTGACAGAACAGCAGCTCTGCCTACACCTGCCAGAGAGGATGACCTGTAGGGCAGTGGGTCTGGGTCAGAACTAGCCTGGGTGCCAGTCTGAACTTAGTCCCGCCCACAAGGTTTGAGTTCGGGGAAGTTCGGTCTGGCTCTGCTCCATAGTAGCGCGAGTATTATCGCCCACTGTCAGGCGATCCAATCAAATTGTCAGGGCGGGCTTTATACGATGATGGACAGATGATCAACAGTAACGTAATCAAACACGTGACCAAAGCGCGCTTGGGTGACAACAATAATGGCTGCCACTGGAGAGTTGAGGTGTGTAGATTCTGCTATTAGGTCTGTTCTAGAAGATATCGACAGCAAATAAATTTTAAAAGAGGAACAGAGAAACACGATCAAGGCTCATCTTCTTATTCTAGGCGTGCAACTGCACGCTTTGATTTTTGTTGACAACAACTATGCGTCGCTTAACATACGTCACGCACTCCGTTGCTCTTATTGGTTGTAGGTCTATCCAATTGAGTGCAGAGGCATTTTTTTTTCCTGGTCCGTTCAAAACACGCCCCATAATCACAGCTCTATGGAGCAGCATCAGACTCATATTCTGACTAGAATTGAGTAGGACTACGTCAGGCTAGGTCAGAACCTTACTGGATGATGGGTTTCTTCCATCCCATGAAGCTAACTGGTTTCCAGTAGCGATGGGTCCGCAGCTCTAATAGCTAAGCTGTGTTTATAAGCGCATCTGTCAACACAACGAATCTGCCAAGAAACTCTGATCTTTAGCGGTTTAATATCAAATTAATCAAGAAAACTGGATCGTCCTGAAGGGAAAAGGGTTTTAGCCGAGCCGCACCATTCTGATCCCATATTTGATTTAATGTTCTTGCTCTGTCATCCTCTTCCTCTCAGTTATCACTCCAATCATCTGAATTCACATTGACTCTTAGTTTGCTGCTCTTCCTGTTCTTATCTTAAATGAATAAATCCTAGTCTCACAGGCTCATTTAAATTTTTCGGTTATCTGTTCAAATTTATGAATTGTCTAAAAAATATTTTAGAAAATATCAAACATATTTTCAATTTAAACTAAAATATGAAACAATACATCAGAGATAACAATGCTTTTAAGTATGCTTTTAATATAGGTCCTCAAATCAGTTTCACTTTAGCCTGTCAAAAGCTGCCTGTAGTGTCTGCAAATGTCCAGCAGGTGTCAGTATTCAGTGACACAGGATCAACCAATCAGCTCAGCGGAGCTGCCGACATCGCCTCACCTGGATGTTTTTAAAGTCCACGGTGACGCTGCAGAGGACGCAGCCCCTCTGGGGGTCCTTGGACGGACCCTCCGCCTTCAGGAGCTGCACAGAAAAACGTCCCGTTATTTCTGCCTCTAGCGGCGGACATTAGAGCTTCCTCACCGTACCTCACCCACCGGCTCATCCTGCAGCGCTTCAGCCGATGACAGGCTCCTGTGAGCTGCGGGGGGAACAGAACAACGGTCCGATCAGACCCAATAAAGGTTCCGGTTCTACAAACCGGACAGGTTTGGGTTCAGGAGAGGGGGAACCGGTTCGGACTCGGTCACTCACCGCTGTTCCTCTGGAGAAACGCGGCAGCCTTGATCCTGCGGAGACCTCTGAGGCACAACATTCTGAGCGGACACTGGACCGGAAGCAGCAGGGGGACGACAGGAAACACTGGCAACGCCGCTTTAGTTCCGGACGCGCTTCTTTTTATTTAATACTTTAAAAGGTAAAAACATTACATTTATTCGCGCATGTGTTTCTATTAAACAACAATCACAAAATAATAATTAACTCACGTTTCATATTACTCAATACATGACGTCACAGTCAGTGTTATTAATCCAAAGATAAAAACAAGAAGGGATGGAAATTTCTAAAATATACAGAAAGGGCAGTTCTTTATGTTAAACCAGCTTTTTAATTAAAGTTTTGAACTCAGCATCAAGCAAACATCAATACGTAACAAAGAATGTCTAAATTTATTTTAGAATAATTTCAGGTTATTGTGTTTATATCCAAATATTTATGGGGAAATTTATAAAATATTTTATAAAAATTTTTGACGACATTTCACTGTTTCATTTGAGGAATTAATCGATACTTGATTGCATTTTTATTATTATTATCATTATTATTATTATTAATCCCTTTTCAAAATCAGAGTAATAAAAATAACTTTTTCTGATTGACAGCTTCTTCTAAGGAGAAATCTCATGGTGAGCCTTTTACTATGATGGTTAAATAAGTTGATAATAGTTTAATTTAAAAAGAAATTCAAAGAATTTTGTTATGATGGTCGGTAACAACAGAGAGATGAATCCCTGACCGGATCAGACCGGTTTTTCTCGTTGTTTCTCTGTAGTCTGTATATTTGTAATCATTTTTATAAAATAATAACGATTTAATTTCATAAAAATTTCCTCTGGGTTCCAAACATAGATATCCATAATAAAGGCGGATTTATTATGGATATCTATGGTTCCAAACACCAGCAACCGGACGTGACGGAGGGACTTCTCCACCAATCATCGTTCCTCCGCGTCTGACGTCACCAGTCGTACGTTTGAACGTGCTGAGCGGTTGGAGCTTCTTTCACTTTTTTCTGTCGTTTTATTCAAGTCAAGTTAGAATATTAATTTGATTGAATCGGTTTGTTTCTGTCGCCAGCGGCGCGTGGTTCCGGCTAACTGTAGCTAGCATCGTTAGCGCTTCCGGTGGGTTCGGGTTGGGCTGATGGTCTGACCGGCCGGACCTCCGGGCTGAAGGATGGTTCCGAGGTGAACCCACGCAGGGATGAGCTCAGTGAGGCTCCACGTCAAAATCAAACGAGTCTGCGCGAGGAAGAGGCCGCGTGACGCTCTGAAGGCTCACCTGACACCTGTCCGAGGGGGAGGAGGGGGGTCAGCGCCATGCGCCCCCTGCAGCAGCATCATGGCAGAAAGTGCAGCTGTGGAGGTAGGGTGGGGTCCAGTGGGTCAGGATGAAGGCAGGTTATAGATCTAGACTAGACAGACATAACCCATGTTCTTCTTGTGTTTGGCTGGCAGTTCTGCAGCGACAGTGAGGATCTGTTTGGGGACTATGACAGCATCCTGGAGGACAGCTCCATCCTGGCACGGCTGGACGATGCAGAGCAGCGTGAGAGACTGCAATCAGAGCAGCTGCAGGGCTTCAGGACTCCGCCCCCTTCCACGGACGCCATGTCCTGCTCCGCCGCCCCACTGAGCGACGAGCTGGAAGACCTACCCCCCAGCCAGCTGCAGTTCCAGGAGCAGATCCAGGATCAGGCAAAGAGGAGCCGGCTGCAGGTCGCCAAGGCGACCCCGACGCCTCCCGGCGGGGCCGCTAAGATCGGGGAACCTGAGGGGGCCAAGAGGCGTGGCGGGGTGAGGAGGAGCATCGCGGAGCAGCTGAAGGAGGCCATGCTGGGGAACGCAGCGGCTCCCGCTGCTGCGTCTCGCTCCGAGGCGCTGAAGGAGGCGGTCATTTCCAGGGAGATCAGCGAGGCCATGGAGGCCATCTCTGCAGAGGCCGCTGACCTGGGGCCCTTCTTCGGCCTCCCCAGCAAAGTCAAAGAGCTGATGCTGAGGCTGAGAGGAATCCAGAGGTTATACGGTGAGAACATGGCCCCTCAGCGAGGCGTCCCTCATTCATCCTAGCGTCCATCTGAGCAGATGACTGATCAAAGCTGTTGTTTCTCAGACTGGCAGGAAACGTGTCTGAACCTGGACTGCGTTCATCAGAGGAAGAACCTCATCTACTCGCTTCCCACCAGTGGAGGGAAGACCCTGGTGGCAGAGATCCTCATCCTCAGGGAGCTGCTGTGCCGCAGGAAGGACTGCTTGTTCATCCTGCCGTACATCTCACTGGTGCAGGAGAAGGTAGGTAAACCAGCGCTCGCTCCTCCACAGGTCTGAGTCCTCCGCAGCCCCGGAAGGAGCCTGGAGTCGTACCGAGGAGTAGGGCTGAACTATTTCGCCCAAAATCTAAATAGTGATTATTTTCAATCAATATTGCGATTTTTCTTCGCATTAAAGCGCAAACAGGCTGATGTTTCACTCCAGGGTTTCAGTTCTTCCATGACCTTGAAAGCCTGCTGGTCCATTTGCAGTATGCAGGTCATAGTCGTCACAAAAGAGTTAAAATCAATCCTCTAGACTTTGTTTCCAAGTTTGCAGACGTTTCTCTTCCATCCAGGAAGCTTTTTCAGTTCAAAATGTCAGAAATAGCGTTTAGTTCCAGGTCTTATCCAGCGGCCCAACAAAGCCTGGTTTTAGTTTAGAAAACATGCAGATAGAAACAGATGAACGGGTCCCCCCCTTTGGAATGGGGGCCGTTTGGCTTCTTCGTTAGCCTGCAATGCTCCATACCTGTCTATGTCCAGATCGCAGCGTTGCAGGACATTTCTGGAACATTTGCATGAAAAGGTATTTACTTCTACTATAAAGCATAGCTCTATAGGAGGGGTCGGCAACCTGAAATGTTCAAAGGGGCATATTTGACACAAAAAAAAATCTGTCTAGAGTCACAAAAATGTAAAGTCTTCTATCCAGTAGGCCTCCTAAGGAATCTAAGTGTGTTACCCCACCATCAATATGACTAAATAGGCTTAAATACTTGATGATAATTCCTGATCGAATGTTTATTTTCCCTGGAGAAAATGACACCATGTGGCTAATCTGCATAATCCATTACAGGACTAATGAAATAATGTGTAATGATTTCTTGCAGTGATGGAATTATAGAAAAACAATAAAGAAATCAAATGTTTTGGGATATTTTTACTTGGAGGATTTGAAAAACAAAAAACTGAAATATGCATAAACGGACTCCTGTAACTTCAAACTTCCATGTGGAAATAAATGCAGTCCTCTTCAAAGCGCAGTAACAGTCAGGCCCGAAAAACCACTGAGGTCAGGAGGTCACCTCTAGAGCACGTTAGCTTTAGTTGTTTTAAAGGAAATGTCTGTTGAGCGAAGAATAATCAATGGATCATTATTTATACCTAAAACTAATACGTTTGCTGCCATCTTCCAGCAGTGACGTCACGGTGCGGTTAGCCTAGCGCCATTCTCCCCGCTTTCCAAGCTAAATCAATGGGAACTACTAGACACATCTGCAATCAACAACAATTATTGAAGATTTCCAGAGGACTTCACCATTGAAATTCACCAGAGCTATAGTGAAACTGACAATGCCCACGTGCATGGCAGCTGGATGCTGGAATACATCGGGTAAAAGTGGAAAAAAGAGTTATTCCACCTTTCTGATTCCTGATCCTCCACGGACGGGTTGGTCGTTGGATCGCCAACTTGAAGAGGGAGGATTTGCCATCGAGCTTCTGGCCAGAGAAAAAACCCGTAATATGTAGCCAACATTTGGAAGAAGAATGTTTTCAAGATGACTTGGATAATAGCGCGTTGTGACAAACACCAGATACAGCACTGGGACTTGATCAGCAGCCGATACCGCACGTGACGTCACTAACCAGTAGGTGGCAGTAGTGTTCTTTGACAGACATGGATGCCTCCAGTAAAGCACATTCACATGAAAATTACTCTGAATTAAAAACACTGATCATTTATTGAACAGGATGGAATCATTTCACATTTAAAGAACTTTCAGAACTTTGAGTTCTGAATATGACAGGACTTTTCCTTTAAATCTAAAACGTTTCCAGACATCAGACTCGCTGAGTGGTTTGTTACGTGTGTCGCCATTTGCACACGCTGCTCATTTGAAAGTGAACGTGACTCATGTCACTATGAAACTAACTGATCTCATTCCAGAGACATGGATTTGGCTAAAATGTAAAGGAATCGATTGATTTCTTTTGTTTTTTTTCCAGTCCTAAATGTGAATATTGCATTTTGTGATGGTATTAGGCTGGGGGGGCTGAGGGGGGGCGGTTACCTGGCTGCCCAGGTCAAGGCGTTTTCTAGCGCTGCCTTTGTCTCCATGGAAAATGGGAGCAACTTTGGGGAAGAGAGGGAAAAAAACACATATTTCACACTTTATCCCTGACAGGAAACAATTGCAAGTGCAACTAATTGCCGAGTCGTACTGAGGAGGTAAAACGGCCACAGCCTGCAGGACGGCGGCCATTAAGGTCAGCAGTCAGAGGCTTTCAAAGTTCTCTGCTTCTTTAACAGGATTGAAAACTGAAGGAGGAACAGCAGGGATCTGCTTTATGGCTGAAGATAACGATTCTGTTTTTAAAATTTAAAAGATACAGAAATTAAAGCTTTTCATTTATAAAGGCTTTTGAGAGGAACTTTTCCTTGTTTTATATTCATTTTACACACTTTATTGACCTCGGAGTGAGGTGGAAGAGGCGTTTCTATTGGCCTGCTGGACGTTAGCAGAAATATTTGATCGTTTGGATTCGGCTGGAAGAAAAAATGAACCAAAATCTGAGAAAAACGGCTAATTTCCTTAGAGAAGTAGTTTTTAAAGTTTTCGTTTCACGTCGGTGTCCTCCCCAGGTGCGCGGCCTGGCCAACTTCGGCCTGGAACTAGACTTCATGGTGGAGGAATACGCCGGCAGCAAGGGCCGCTTTCCCCCCGTGAAGAGAAGGAGCAGGAGGTCGCTGTACGTCGCCACCATCGAGAAGGCCCACAGCCTGGTCAACTCTCTGATAGAAGGCGGCCGGCTGGAGGACCTGGGCCTGCTGGTGGTCGATGAGGTGAACGTCCCGTCGGTTCAGAGGTCACCATGGCAACAGCAACAGCTCTGACGTGTTGTGCTGTCTTTGCAGCTCCACATGCTGGGCGACGGCAGCAGGGGGGCGGTGATCGAAATGACTCTGGCCAAAGTTCTGTTCATGAGTAGTAAGCAGCTTCCTGCAGGGTCCGATGAATGGATGGATGGATGAGTGAGTGAATGGATGAATGGGTGAGAAATAATCCTGTGTCGTTCCAGAAGCCACCCAGATCGTTGGGATGAGCGCCACTCTGGGAAACATCAGGGATCTGCAGACGTTTCTGGGGGCAGAGAATTACACCAATGACTTCAGGCCAGTAAGTCGCTTCTACAGCAAACAGGAAGTCAGAGCGGCGGGCCGCCGCTGCCTGACAGACTGTTAATGGAAGCATCATGGCGGCTCCTCCATGACTCTGATGTCCCGCGTTCATTCGCAGGTTCAGCTGAAGGAATACGTTAAACTGAACGACACCATCTATGAGGTCGACCCAAAGGGGGAGAACGGCTTCAGATTCTCCAGAACGCTCAATTTTAAAGTGAGTTTCGATTCCTCCGGGTTTCAAACATGGCGGCCGGCTGACCGTTTCCTCCTCCTGCTGCAGTACTCCAGCTCCATGCAGAAGATGGACCCGGATCACGTCATCGCTCTGGTGACTGAAGTCATCCCGCTGCATTCCTGCTTGGTCTTCTGTCCCACCAAGAAGAACTGCGAGAACGTTGCAGGGATGATCTGCAAGTATCTAAAGGAGTGAGTGGATTTCGCCGCCGTTCCTCCCTGCATGGCTGCGCCTCCCGCTGCCTTTCAGCTCCTCTGTCTCCTCAGGCAGTTCCTGCAGCACCGTGAGGAGGAGAAGGCCGCCCTGCTCAGAGAGCTGAAGGACAGCGGGAACGGCTCCATGTGTCCGGTGCTCAGGAGGACGGTGCCGTACGGCGTGGCCTACCACCACAGCGGGCTGACCTCGGAGGAGAGGAAGCTGATCGAGGAGGCCTACTCCGGGGGGGTGCTCTGCCTCCTCACCTGCACCTCCACCCTGGCAGCAGGGATCAACCTCCCGGCCCGAAGGTCAGAGGAGAACCTTAAAGTGCGTCTGCAGCCTGCGGGGTCAGCTGCTCCTGTCTGACCTCTGACCTTCCCTCCTGCAGGGTCATCCTGCGCTCACCGTACGTCGGCGTCGACTTCCTGAAGAGGAGTCAGTACAAGCAGATGGTGGGGCGGGCCGGTCGGGCCGGGATCGACACCATCGGGGAGAGCGTCCTCATCCTGCAGGAGAAGGACAGGAAACTGGTAACGATCCGCGCTGATCTCGCTGATTCACTGCTCTGCTAATGCTAATGTTAGCTTTTGGCTAATTGAATACCTTCGTCAGCATCAGTCCAGATGTTCTGAGCAGCTCCAGGCCAACAGGTGGCACTAATAAAAACTCTGCCTTCCTTCATTGATTCCATTATCGGGTTAAACTGGATCCATTAGCAGGAAATTTCACCTTCAATTCAGTTTATTTCTATAGCTCCAATTCACATCACGTCATCTCAGGTCACTTTCCAGTTCAACCAGATCATCCAGTCAGATTGATTCAAAGTTTTCTATCCAAGGATTAGATTTTGAAACACCTCGCCGGTGCAGCTTGACCACATCATCAGTGAAGGACCCAGGGTCGTGGGGTGTTTCTGGTCTTTGATCTTCAGACATCCTCGTCTGGGTGACCCAACCTGGGTGATCAGGCCCCAGTTTGTGTTCAAGCAGCGCGCTACTCCTTGCGTCTCTCCTCTTGATCCACATGCACCTTGAGGCTCTTTCAGCGGCCTCACTGATGGTTCTGGTGGCTCTTCTCTCAGCAACCCTCTAATGCCTGATGCACGGTGTGACTGAGGAAGCCTCTGCAGCCACTCCTATTGGCTCACAGGTGGCCCTCCATCCACGGCGTCTGCATGCCTCAATCAGCTCAAGATATCTGGCCTTCCTTTCGTGAGCCTCCATCCTGTCTTCCCAGAGGACTGTAAGCTCCAGTAACACGACTTGCTTTGTCGAGTCAGATGTTAAGACCAGATCTGGCCTCAGTGTCGTCCTTGCAATGTGCTCTGGGAACTTTAACTGCCTTCCGAGGTCAAAATGCAACTGCCAATCCCGGACCATGGCTAGCAGTCCAGATGTGCTGCTAGCCATGGCTCTCTCGGGTTTCTCCCCTGCTCTGACAAAGAAGACATTGTGCCTCAAAGAGAACTGGTGCTTTGACTCCTGGATTCCAGTGCAGATGGTTCTGCTACTGCCTTCAACACCTGGTGATGGCGCCATGTGTACCTCCCTCCCCCAGCGCTTTAGGGCAGCAGCTCAGGACGTGCTCCAGGGAACCATGAACTGGGCACAGTGGGCATGTTGGTGCCGCTGCAAGGCCCCAGGTATAAAGGTTAGATGGACATTATACACTGACTGGATCAGGAACTTAAGTCTTGCTGGTTCATCCTTCCATAGTACTGTTCAGGTGATCTTCCAGGTGGATCAGACCAGATGAAGCTACTATGAGGAAAAGCAGAGAGAGCAGAACGTTAGAGATTGAACTAACAGATTCTGCAGAGTGGGAGAATAGAGATAGAATGAAGCAGAATGATGAAAAAGGGGTCCCTATGTCCTCCAGCAGTCTAAGCCTATAGCAGCAGAACTATAGAGATAGATCAGGATAACCTGAGCCACTCTAACTAGAAGCTTTATCAAAAAGGAAAGTTTTAAGCCTAGCCTTAAAAGTAGACAGGGTCTCTGCCTCACGGACTAAAACTGGTAGTTGGTTCCACAGGAGAGGAGCCTGAGAACTAAAAGATCTGCCTCCCATTCTACTTTTAGAAATTCTAGGAACCACTAGTAAACCTGCAGATTGAGAGCGAAGTGCTCTGTTAGGAACATAAGGAACAATCAGATCTCTGATATCAGATGGAGCTTGGCCATTTAAGGCTTAATGTGAGAAGGAGGATTTTAATCAGCCTGCATCAGTCCAGAGTTCTTGTTTTAGATCTGTTCTCCACTTAATAAAATAAATAATTTTTCTTCGACTATAATGATCAGATCTCCTGATGTCAACCGTTTGTTAGTGAGTATAAAAATAACATCTAGACTGAAATTAGTGCTGCGACTATCAAAGAACTATCTTGCAGTGAAATGTGAAGCTTTTCTCCCTACAGTGTTTAAATCTTCTTCAGTAAAACGCTAAGCTAACTGCTTCCTAATGTGCTGCTGTTGCAGGTGGGGGAGCTGGTGTGCGCCCCCATGGAGAACTGTTACAGCAACCTGATGCAGGACGAAGGGAGGGCCGTCCTCAGCCTGATCCTCTCCCTGATTGGACTGAACGTAAACCTCTTTCCTTCTCTTCCTGTCGTCTCCCTGTTTGTGCAGATCAGAGGGGAACTCGACCTTGATGGGTTTTTCTGTTTGTGAGCTCTGGACTCTGATCTATGACGCCATATTAGGGCCATTCAAAGATAAAGAAAACAAAATTTGGAAATTAGAGTTCAAAGTGGCCTATTTACAAGAACAAACACGCAAATTTACAAGGAGAAAAAAAGCACATTTCTGAGATTATTGAGATACAAAATTTAGAAGAAAACAAGAAGCAAATCTATGAGAATAAATAGGCAAATTTATAAGGAAAAAAACATGGAAATGTATAAATTTTTACTTTAAAAACGTCCACGAGGGCATTGTAGCGTCTCCTTCCATCGCTAAGCTGCCATTTAATGAGGCACATGCTTTATAATTGGTGTTGCTCTGATACCAGTATGGGGCGGGGCTCCGATCCAGCACTAAAATGGTGGCAATGGTATCAGCGAGTACCAACCAACAGGGCATTGATACCGTTCTGAGAACCAAAAGTTTCTTCAATAAAAAGTTCACTTTGTTTTAGTCTGTTTCCTGCTTCACAAAGGAAGGCAGCAGCTTGACAAATATGGAGGATAAAAAGTGCCAAAATTAAATAAATAAATACAGCATTAAATAAATAATTAAATGTGTCAATAATTAATTAAATGTGAAATTAAATAAATAAATGTGTCATTAGTTTAATAAAATACGTCTTCATTTTATTAAAAAATATATATAATTATTTCAGTGTGTATTTAATTATTTCATGGTCCTGTGTCGCAGTGCATCGAAACCATTAAAAGAATCTGTCAAACTCACCCATCAAAGTTAGGGGGCGGGTATCTAACACCTGATTGGTCGCCCTGCACATTAAGGCGAAGCAAATCGATTACAGAGACTGTGATCCACAGGTAGTGAACATACTCTGATACAGAAGGTGGCGACTCAATTCGCATTAACCCCGCCCCCTAACCTTGATGGGTGAGTTTGACAGATTCTTTTAATGGTTTCTGCCACACAGGACCATGAAATAATTAAATGCACACTGAAATAATTATATATATTTTTTTTAATAAAATGAAGACGTATTTTATTAAATTAATGACACATTTATATATTTAATTCCTTATTTAACGAATTACACATTTAATTAATTGTTTATTGCTGTATTTATTTATTTAATTGTGGCACTTTATATCAGTGACGTGGTTTTAATTAATAAATTACATATTTATTTAATTCCATATTTAATTATTTATTTAATGCTGTATTTATTTATTTAATTTTGGCACTTTTTATCCTCCATAGACAAAGCCATGATGGTGATTATTTTACATCCTAGTAGTCTGAAGTTCTTCATATATAAACATATATAATCAATCAGATGGTATGGGCCGTTGCTGCACAGCCAGGGGACAGAAAATGGCATCAGAGCAACGCTAATTATAACCTTCCATTGTTCTGCATGTTTACATCTTGCAAATTTGCTACATGTCTCTCGTTAATTTGCGTGTTTTTTCTTATTAATAATTTTCTCTTCTATTTGTATTTTTTCTTTTAGTAAATATTTGAGTTTATTCTTGTAAATATGCCACTTTAAATAAAAGATTTCAATTCCATGTATTTAAAATTTTCCGTCTTTAAATTGCCCTAATAATCCGTGGTACTCGCGTATAAAGCCTGACTGAAGCTGCACCATTACTGCAGCCGTTTAAATGGGAAGAAGGTTCTTTGAAAGGACAACATGTCTGCAGAGAGTCGGACCGGATGAAACTCAGAACCAGGTCAAAGGTCAACAACCACCACAGCTCCATACACGGCAAAAACAATCTAGAACCAGTAAAATGTCTTAAATTAAGTGTATTTCCCCTTAATTTGAGCATTTAGGTAAGATGGTCTACAGATGGAATGAGGATTTTTCCTCTGAAAATAAGTCAATGCGATTTCTTTTCCTATTTTAAATGTAAATTATCTTCTTTTATTGGTAAAGTGTCTCACTTACCCCCTTAATTCAAGAAAAAATGCCTTATTTAGATGAACATGTATTTATTGTGTTTAAAAAAGGCAGAAAAACCAGCCTTTAGATTTTTATTTAGAGCCAAACCTGATCCTAAATATCAGACCTGATTGTTTCTGTAGTTGTGAGCAGATGACTGATCCGGCCTCTGGTTGCTGCAGGTGGCCTCCTCGCTGCAGCAGCTGGACGCCTTCCTGCGGCGGACGCTGCTGTTTGTGCAGCAGCAGCAGCTCTGTGCGGACAGGAGTCTGCAGGAAGTGGTGCGGCAGAGCGTCCACATCCTGAAGGAGAAGGAGCTCATCGCCGTCACCGGGACGGACTCGGCTCTGCAGGTCACCAGACTGGGCCGGGCGGCTTATAAAGGTAAAGCAGGACCCAAAGCGTTGCGTCCCGGTAGATCAGAGCAGAGCCAGTCCTCTGAAGCTCCTCCCCCCTCTGTGTGTCCAGGGTCAGTGGATCTGGCCTACTGTGACGTTCTCTACAGAGACCTGTCCAAAGGTCTGGAGGGGCTGCTACTCAACAGCTACCTGCACCTGGTGTACCTGGTGACCCCCTACGAGCTGGTCCCTCAGTGCAACCCGGACTGGATGGTCTACTTCAGACAGGTTCAGCACCTCGCTCACACTCCACAGGCTAACGCCGTTAGCGCTCTGCTAACCCGCCGCTTCCTGTCTGCAGTTCAGCCTGCTGTCTGCCTCGGAGCAGAAGATGTCTGCTGCGGTGGGAGTCCCTGAGAGCTTCGTGGCCCGAAAAGCAGCGGGTCAGACGGTGAAGAAGGTAGAACCTCCTGATAACCAAACTAACCGGGAAATAAGACGCTTTCTGAGAAATCAGCTCAAATCCAACCGGAAAAACTGAAATTAATAATCAGATTGCCAAAGGTCCTTAAAGAAAATATTTTTACTAAATGAAACCAGCTGAAACAAACTTTTCCTCTTGAGGAGTTCTTGATAGAGCAGATTGACAGATGGAAAAAAGGTTTTTTATCCTAAAAGCAAAATGTTTACATATTTATTTAAAATGTTGGTATAATTCCTGCTCAAAGTGAGTCGCTCTGTCAGCTAAAAGCACGATTTACAGTCTCTATTCTCCAACCAAATATTAATTGATCACTAAGTCATTGGATTATTTCTATAATCACGATTAATCGGATGAAATGTTTCAGCACTAACGGATATTTTAATGATGGAAACGTGTTTGTGAAAGAAGTGATGGAGTCAGCAGAAGAAAGACGTCTGGATCCTAACAGCTAAAGGACGTCTGGGAGGAAAGATGCTAGAATACGGCAATAAAAGAGTCTTAATTTCATATAAATGAGCTTAAACTATATTAAGAGAAATAAATGTGTTGTAGATAAAGGAAAAGTCGCTCATATTCAGAATCCAAACTTCTGAAAGTTCTTTAAATCTGAAATGATTCCATCCTGTTCAATAAATGATCAGTGTTTTTAATTCAGAGTAATTTTCATGTGAATGTGCTTTACTGGAGGCATCCATGTTTGTCAAAGAACACTACTGCCACCTACTGGTTAGTGACATTGTCACGATGCGGTATCGGCTGTTGATCAAGTCCCAGTGCTGTATCTGGTGTTTGTCACAACGCGCTATTATCCAAGTCATCTTGAAAACATTCTTCTTCCAAATGTTGGCTACATATTACGGGTTTTTTCTCTGGCCAGAAGTTCGATGGCAAATCCTCCCTCTTCGATTCTATTCAATTTATTTCTGTAACACCAATTCACATCATGTCATCTCAGGTCAGTTTACAGAGACAATTTTACCAGATCATCCAGTTAAATTGAGTTTTCTATCTAAGGAAAAACCAGCTGATTGCATCAAACCTCTAGCAGATGGGAAACAAAGTCCAGTGGATTGATTTGAACTTTTTTGGAAGCAAAAATCCTTGATAGTCTCCTGATTAATGTGGATTATTTCCGTTCCACTGACATGCTTTGCTCTAAGAGGTGTCTGCTCTGCCCCGCTCCAGCACTGCCCTGATGCACAGAGCTGTGGAGGGGTGTGAATACTTTTGGAAGGATTTCTGTAACCGAAAACGAAGCTGTAGTTCTATGTTCTGGGTGGTTCTGTGGGCGGGGTTCTGTTCCTGTGGGACCATGTGGTTCAGCATGCTCCTCCTAACATGCATGGCGGTTAATAGATGTGGACGGTTTCAGAACCCGGACCTGGTGGCGGTGAAGCGGATGTATCTGGCTCTGGTTCTGTTCTCCCTGCTGAAGGAGACCAACGTGTGGAGCGTGGCCGAGCGCTTCCAGCTGAGCCGAGGCTTCGTGCAGACCCTCCTCAGCTCCGCCTCCGCCTTCTGCTCCTGCGTTCTGCACTTCACGGAGGTTCGTTTGGTTGCCGTAAATCAGCGCGCCGTCCCTTTAAGCCGCTAAGCTCTGACTGTGACCTCCTGCAGGAGCTGGAGGAGCTGTGGCCGTTCAAAGCGCTGCTGACCGAGCTGACCCGACGTCTGAGCTACTGCGTGACGGCCGAGCTCATCCCCCTGATGGAGGTGGCCGGGGTTCTGGAGGTCAGGTGCTGCTGCTGACTCCTGTGCTCCTCAGGTACGCTCTGTTCCCGCCTCCTCATGGTTCTCCTTCTGTGCAGTTCAGAGCAAAGCAGCTGTACGCCGCCGGCTACAAGACGCTGAGCCACCTGGCTAACGCTGACCCGGCCGTTCTCTGCAGAACAATCCAGAACCTGTACAAGAAGCAGGCGCTCCTGATGGTGGCCTCCGCCAAGGTAAGCCCCCCCCCCCACCAGATCAGAAGCAGCCTGCTCTCCAGACCTGACGTCTGTCTGTCTGTCTGTCTGTCTGTCTGTCTGTCCTCCAGATGCTGCTGAATGAGAAGGCTGCAGCTCTGCAGGAGGAGGTGGACGATCTGCTGACGCTGCCTGCTGACCTGCCGCCGCAGCGGCTTCAACCCAAAGCTGCTGATTTTTAGGTTCTTTTGTTTTTTACTCATTAAAACTTCTTTTTAAAAAACATTTTCCTAAAGTGGATTAACAGGAGCGCAGTGATTTCTGTTCATATCATCAATATTTCATCAGATTTAAGCTCAGCGACCAACAGCAGGGGTGGATTTAGGAAATTTGGGGCCCTAGGCAAAGACAGGCAAGGGCCCTCTGAATGGAGAAGACATCAAACTGGCTACAGATTCTACACATAGAGAAGTTTTAACACTGGAAAAACAATCTAGAAATAAGTAAAAATTTCTTAAATTAAGGGAGATGAGATGGTCTGCTAATGGAATAAATATTTTTACTCTTTAAATAAGATATTTATCACTGGGTGGGGAGGAAGGGTGTTCTATTATTGATGACACAAATTTGTATACACTTTACAAAATTTTGACTACTTGTGGTTGGTGCACTTGTTCCTCCTCTAATGTACAAAATATGAAAAAACAATGAAAAATTGATCTAAAAAAAATTAAAATAAGATATTTATATAAAATTCACTTGAAAAAAGATGATTCAGTTTTGTTTTCTTATTTTAAATGTGACACACTTAATATTATCAGCATTCTGATGGCATTTTAGAGAAAGGATTTTTATCAAAAACATAATGTGCACAAACAAGGAGTAGTTGTATTAACCACAGAGATGGCAAAAGTACTCACTTTCCGTACTTGAGTAAAAGTACAGATACTTGTGTTAAAAAATACTCTGGTAAAAGTGGAAGTACTGATTAAACTTCTTTACTCAAGTAAAAGTAACAAAGTACAGGCTGGTAAATTTACTTAAAGTATAAAAGTAAAAGTAGAAACCACTTTTTTCCTGCCATTGCCTACATTTTAAATGGATGTCTGCCAATAGGACTAGATCTCCGTTGTGTTCATTTTCAATCATCTCGTCGTCCATGCTACTATGCTAACGCCACCGCCACCAAGCTGCAATGATTTGCCGCCAATGAATACCGCCGAATCTGTCGATTCATCTTGTAGTGGTGCGTCAAATGCAACGTAGATTCCCATCCAATTAGATTGGATTTGGTATTGATGACGTGAAAAATAATAACCGTAACTCCATTGAAATGATTCAAAACTAAAGTAACGAGCCAATTTTTTAAAATGTAAGGAGTAGAAAGTACAGATATTTGTGTAAAAATGTAAGGAGTAGAAGTAAAAAGTCAGCATAAAAATAAGTAGTAAAGTAAAGTAAAAATATCAGAAAAATCTACTTGAGTACAGTAACGAAGTATTTGTACTTTGTTACTTCCCATCTCTGCACCCAGGAACTGTGGGCCCTCGGAAACTGCCTATTATTTCTTAATGGTAAATCCCCCCCTGACCAAGGGAATAATCTGATACTGAGCCTCTTTTCCTGCAACACCCTGAAATAAAACCCAGTGCATGGAGCTGCAGCTCAGCATCAGCTCTGTTTGTCCGTCTGTCTTCAGGGAGGAATAAACAGCAGTTTGGTCATCTGGGTTTTTTCTTAATGTGCAGAGAAGTGAAATAAGCAGCAGGTTATAAAGATGAAGCTGAAATGTCTTTAAACGATTTGTCCTCTGGATGTTTGGCTTATCAGAGATGTTTTACCTGAGCAGAGATTCCTGCTAAATAAAAACAGCCATAAAAAAGAGAGCCGACCTTTAGGCTCATCTCAGGATGAGAGGCTCTGCTGAGAGTTTCTATTAGACCCACAGCAGGAAGGTTCTGTTTCTGGTCAGCGGGTGGAAACCCTGGTTACACTCTCAGTCATCCAGGTCATAGTCGGTCCCAAAAATTAAACAATCCACTGGACTAAACTTGAAGATGTTTTGCCTCCCATCCAGGGGACCAACCTTAAACAGAGGGGGGGGGGACTCAAACCTACAATGCAGCTATAGAGTTGACTGTTTCATACTGATCTCTATTTATTCCCTGGATTGCTGGTCGTTGAAGTGAAGCCACCGGCTGCCATATTGGTACTCCCTAGTTAGACCGGTCACAATGTAAACAATCGGTGCGCTACAGCATCGAACAACGATGATGTTTGTCGTGTTCAGGGTGTAATGTACGGGAATCAGACCCAAGATACAACCCAGACAGGTCAGTGACTCTTACAGGCTTTATTTGAGAAATGAACGGGGGAAGCAATGAACGTTCAGGACAAGCTGCTGCACCCGAAGGGGAGCCCTGACTCCCGAGGTCCAGAGCATGAAGAGCCGCTTAGAGGCAGTGAACTGAGTAATGAACTGAGTCTGGAAGCAGACAGGGTTTGCTGGGGCCCGCTGAGGGCCCGTGATCCAGAGGGGTCCAGGTTCAGCAGATCCAGTACAGACAGGGAGATCCAGGAGGGAAGGTCCAGGTCCGTAAACAGAGTCCAAAATCCAGAGACAGATCCAGGCAGGGTTCCAGGCAGGCAGAACAGGGACAGGCTCGGTAATAGAAAGGTTTGCAAAACGATGGCTGGAAGGTTCTCACCTGTAGGTTCAACACGATCTGGCACAGGTAGCTGATCTGAACGGGGCTTATAAACAGGTGAAACCAGTTAAGGGCTGATTGCAGGTGAGGTGAAGCTGAGCAGGAGAGCAGAGTGGACAGATAGGCCAGCCCCAATATTACACAGGCGGCTTAAGACTTTTAAAATAAAGAGAAATTCATCACTTTGACACAGACTGGCTGTTTCATAGCATCAGCAGATTAACTTTAACTTAGAATAAATAAATAAGCCCATCACATTGAATAGTCATTATGATGAAGTCTATAAATCATGTAATATAACATATTACTCAAACCATCACAATTAAATTAATGTGTTAATGGAACAGAATGATACAGATGAGCAAAAGAGCTAAATTGATGTTCATCTAACATACATGGATTTATTACACTTTTATGGTAATTACATTTTATAATTTTAAGATTTAACATAAAGACTGAATGAAGTTCATGTCTGTTAATGCTTTAGTGTTTTCCTATTTGCAGATTGTGCATGAATGATTCCATCTCTGCATCAGCCTTTAGAAATGTTTCTGTTGCTTTTCTCCATCAGTATAACCTGTAATATATTTCATGACTTTTTCAAATGAGAAATGCAACAAACTCTATAAAAACTACAGCATCATCCACCTAATAAAGAGTTAATACATTAACATTTCACAGTGAATGACTTTCTATTTCCTCTGTTTTCTAACGTTAGACCCAATGTCAGCGTCTAACTCAGTCAATGTCTTCCAGTCAGTCTGAGATAGCCAGCCTAATGTTAGTCTGCAGACTAATGTTAGTCTGCAGACTAAACTATAGGATCCATCGGCTATAGATGGATTTATTGCTTAGTTCATCCACTGACTGGGAAATTATCTGGAACGTCTTCCTGCAGCCAGAAAACTGCTGGTTTCTGCACAGGGAGGCATTTTACTACGCGTCTCCATGGGAGCGGGGAGTACCAATATGGCGGCCGGTGGCTTCACTTTGTTTCAGGCTATCAGCAAAACAGTGAATGAATAGAGATCAGTGTTCCTTCCTTATACCAACTCAACCCCCATCGCTATTCAGTGAACAGAATACCTGTCCAGGTCAGCCAGGCCAACTGTGACCCTTAACCACTGCCTTTTCAGAGGAATGGACCAGTATCTGGTATTTCAGGCCAATAACGACCTCAGCGACTCCCATTATTAAGGGCTGGAGCTGGATTTCCACTTTCAATCTGCATGTTTTCTAAACCAACATGCTGTATGAAGCCTGGAACTCAACACTAATCCAGATATTCTGAATTGAAAAAGCTTCCTGGATGGAAGAGAAATGTCTTCAAACTTGGAAACAAAGTCCAGAGGATTGATTTGAACTTCTTGGAATGAGGCAGAATTTTAGGTTCTCACCACTAGATGGCCCCAGAGAGCATCTAAAGATGAGATGAACCTTCATGCAGCACATTTACTGTAACAAAGCCTCACGTCTCCATGGTTACTGTACTGCATATGAATAACAGCAATCAGCATGAATCCTGGCTCAACACTTTACTTCCCTCATTTCAGTGACGCTTTACTTTTTTTTTTTTGGGGGGGGGAGCAGAACGTGGAGCGAGAACTTCTCCTGGGAGTCTGACGCTTTCTGACATCTTCTACGTTCTCAGTCTTGCTGTGAAGCAGGAGGAAGTCATCCTGCAGGGTTTTGGTACAAGGCCTCTGATACAGACTGATTAGTCCTTATTTTATGGCATATAGCAGAGTGGGGGGGCATAGCCACTCACTAGAGCCCCCTATAAGGTTCTCTTTTGTTCCCTTGTAGACATAATTGTCCATCTCTGGGAAAAGCAGCTCCCTCCTTTAGGAGAAAATACAGCAGACGCTTTACAGCACAGCAAGCATGCAACACGCAGGAATTACTGACAGCAGCACAACGCTGTACGATTTTTTTCCCCTAACGCGGGGCAATAAGCCTCTAACGACCAGTGCTATCTCTATAGTTCTGCTGCTATAGGCTTAGACTGCTGGAGGACATAGTGACCCCTTTTTCATCATTCTGCTTCATTCTATCTCTATTCTCCCACTCTGCAGAATCTGTTAGTTCAATCTCTAACGTTCTGCTCTCTCTGCTTTTTCTCATAGTAGCTTCATCTGGTCTGTTCCTGTTTGGCTGTGACTCCATCCTGGAGAGAAATATCAGCTGTGCTGCTGCCATCAACACCTTTGTTTCTAGATGTTGGAGCTTGGCCTGTTTTCCAGTGTAGTCCTGTTTCTCTGACTGTGACTAACTGGATGTGCTCTCTTCATCCTCTGACATGGGAGCTGGCTCGGAGCTCGTCTGCCTGGCTGTGTGTTTCCTGGACGGGGCCGCCTGTGGAGCTGGTTGACAGTTGCCTTTTGTATCTATGCTTCTTTTTCTATGTCTGCTTCTGTCTCCTTGAACCCCAGTGGGCCTCAGCAGATGGCCGCTCACACTGAGCCTGGTTCTGCTGGAGGTTTCTTCCTGTTCAAAGGGAGTTTTTCCTCTCCACTGTCGCTACAAGCATGCTTAGTGTGAGGGATTGCTGAAGAGTCAATGAGTCGATGCAATCAGCTGGTTTTCTTTAGATAGAAAACTTTGAATCAATCTGACTGGATGATCTGGTGAACTGGACAGATGACCGGACGTGCTGTGAATTTGTGCTATAGAAAATGAATTGAATTGAAGCACCTCCTGATCAGGAATCTTAAGGTCGGGAGAAAAATCCAAAATGTCTGAAATCCAGTCGGCCATCCTGAGGTAAATCCTGCTGTTGAAGCAGAACTACGAGCCGATTTACCTAAATATCGCACCCTGCACATGTGCAAACAAGGAAGTTCTTCTTCCATATTGACGATTCTGACCAGCGCCATCTCTCTGAGTCCAACGTGGCTTCTGGATGTGTGAGCGGGTAGATACCATCAGGCTGCAGTGTGAGAACATGCATCGTGAGCCGTGAATTTTAAATCCTGCAGTTTCCTCATACTGTGTGAGCTGCAGCTCAGTGCAACCAATGGAAATATGGTACAGTGTATGCCCGGCTTTAATCCACATTTCCTCTGACCAGACCCGTCGGGTTGGATCAGAACCAGCAGGCCTGTTGGAAATTAAAATCTCAATAAATAATTCTGTCTTGAATTGAGACAATTTACGTTTAAAATCAGAAAAAATATTGCATTGTCTTATTTCAAGAGCACATTATCTAATTATCTTATTCTAAGAGTAGAAAAACTGATGCCATTGGCATATAATCGTATTTACCTGCTGAAATTAAGGCTAAATAAATTTCATTTAAGAACTGGCTCATTTTTTAAATGTTCACCAGAAAGAAAAGATTTGATGAGGAGGTTCCTGCAGCTTCATGAAGGTTTCATCTACAGCCTATAGTTCTCTGGTTCCTTCATCTTCTGTCCGTCTCCATTGTCTTCCACATGCTACAGATGCTGCAAATCGCAGCCTGGATGCCAACAAACTCAACTGAGTATTTCCTCCTTCTGGGTTTTTGCAGCAGGACATTGTTGCTTTCAGTGTTTTAGTGTCTGAAACTCATGAAGCCAAACATCAACAATGCGCAGAGCCGAGGAGGTTCTGGTTCTCTGCCTTTATTCTGGCCTTTTCCACCATTCCTTATTGGTCCCAGAGGAAAAGGAGGCAGGAAGTAGAATGAGTGAACATGTGTGCAGCTGTGTCGGCCAAGCAGGGAGAGGACGGCTCTCCTTTACGCTTCAAATTTCACCAGATGATCACATGAATGATCTGCTGGGGAAGATTCTCAGTCATCCAGGTCAGAGTCATTCCAAAACATTTAAAAAACAACCAAATCAATCCACTGGACTTTGAAGACGTTTCTCTTCCATCCAGGAAGCTTTTTCAATTCAAAATGTCAGAAATAGCGTTTAGTTCCAGGTTTTATCCAGCAGCCCAACAAAGCCTGGTTTTAGTTTAGAAAACATGCAAATAGAAACGGATGAACGGGTCCCCCCCTTTGGAATGGGGGTCGTTTGGCTTCTTTGTTAGCCTGCAATGCCCCATACCTGTCTATGTCTCTGAAAGGGGGGTCGTTAGAGGGAATAGTTGGCCTGGCTGAATAGGTGAGGTCTTCTGTTCTCCTGTAAAGGGGTTGGAGCTGCGACGATAGCAGGAAGGAATCAACTCTATCGCTGAATTAAAGGTTTATGAAAGCTGAAATCCTCTCAAACCACCTGTCTTCTTTGTCCTAAATGTGAACATTCTGGTCCTCCAAAGAATGTCCTTTGTCCATCAGGTGTAGATGGACCGCAGAGTCTTGTCCAGAGGAGGGCGCTGTCCTGTGTTGGGCCGTGCATCTGTGGAGAGGTTGGCTGCATCCTCAGAAGGCCAGATTCGAAGGCCGATTACGTCAAAGCGCGGCGCCGAGGTCTGGTCGGATTCCAAGAGTCCTCGTTATGCGTCCTTAAAATGCGTCCTTCTTTTAGCCTGATTTAAAGGACGGGTGTCGATGTATCCTCGGTATCCTTGGATATCCCAGGATTCATTGCGAGACCAAGCAAGCCGTGATCAGAGGAAAGGTTACTTGGCGCCAAACAGTGGTGAAAATTGGAAGTTCAGTTTAATCTAATCCAGTCTGTGAATAGTTCCGTCTGAGATTAATGAAAATAGTTGTTTTAATGGTTATAGAGTCAGATATGTGGCGGTAATGTTTGGTTTATCTAAAGGTTTTTATCTGTTACTGTGTAAATGAGTTTGGCTGGAATTTAAGGACAGATTCTAATATATCTGCAGGGTGGGGACTATAAATCTGATAGGAGTTTTATTTTTTATTGCTGTTTTGCACAATATGCTTAACTAAGAAATTTGCAGATATATTTTTATACATACATTGTTTAGATTTACTTATATCTTTCTACCCCTTTTATAGAATAGAATAGAAAATCCCTTTATTGTCCCACAATGGGCAAATTTACAGCAGCAGAAAGATTATTGAAAATGGTCACACAAATGAGGACCTTAGAAAAATGTATAAGAATAACATAATAGGGAAGAGTTATATATAGTGTTTTAACAATATAAAACTGGGGAATAAATAACCAACATGCAGCTATGGACATTTTTCCAGTAATGGATATTTGAAAATAGCAGCAACATCAGAGATGTGCAGAATGACAGCAGCAGGTTATTTAACTGACTAAGGTTTCTATCATTACATTTGATTTGATTTGTTCCTGCTCCAGGTGGTTGGAACATTTATTCCACTCAATAAAAAAATAAAGAAATAAACAAAGCAGCCTCTCACACTCCCTGATCCATAAATACGCAGAAAGACAGTGAGAGAAAAGTAGCCAGCAGTTAGCAGTCACTGGGGGGGGTTTCCAGCAGCTGTCCTCTCCAGCAGCCAGCTCTCACTGCGGCTGTCCATGACCTCACTGCTGAGCCATTTCATCCACGCAGAGCTCTGCCTGTCAGCCACGGCTCTCCTCACAGCTGTTGCAGAAAAACCCAGAGGTGACACTTAAAGTCCAAATACTTTGTTTCCTCACTTTAGAGGAAGTTTCAGCTTTTCACTCTGACTCGGAGGATCAATAGACGTCTCCTGCTGAGGCTGGGAACCAACTCAGGGTCAATAAAGCATCTAAACCTTCAGCTTCAGGCCGGTTTGGACCAGAACCGAGTCAGACATTGTTCAGAAGTCCATTCTATTCAGTTTATTTCTATAGCTCCAATTCACATCATGTCATCTCAGGTCACTTTCCAGTTCACCAGATCATCCAGTCAGATTGATTCAAAGTTTTCTATCTAAGGAAAACCAGCTGATTGCATCGACTCATTGACTCTTCAGCAATCCCTCACACTAAGCATGCTTGTAGCGACAGTGGAGAGGAAAAACTCCCTTTGAACAGGAAGAAACCTCCAGCAGAACCAGGCTCAGTGTGAGCGGCCATCTGCTGAGGCCCACTGGGGTTCAAGGAGACAGAAGCAGACATAGAAAAAGAAGCATAGATACAAAAGGCAACTGTCAACCAGCTCCACAGGAAACTGATCATCTGTTCTTTGTTGGAGACATCAGAGTTTTTTTAATTTCATGGCAAAAACAGAATAAAAATGAATTAAATTATCTTCAAATACCTTGATTTGGGTAGATAAAATAATTGAAATAAAAAAGGTTCAAATATGAGAAATCACCTTTATTTCCATTTTTATTTTCACTCTCCTGCTTTCAAGTAATTTTGACGTTTTAGAGGGATTTCTGGAGCCTAAATGGACTCGATCAGAATTTAAAGGGATGTTCAGAAGCAGAACTAAATGAACTGGACCAGAATTTTCCCCAAACACCGAACCAGAGTCCCAGCTTCTCTGGCTGGGATCACACACCCGCCCGGAAGGAAGCCTACAGTAGATCCGCCGCTGCTTCTGTGAGAAACAAACAGCTAATAAGAAACACGTCTAGTTACTGTTGAGAAGAAGGATGGGAAGCAGAAATAAAGGAGCTGCAGGACAGAAAGTCCAACTAAAGAGGAAACAGAGGAAGAACTGAGAGCAGCAGAGAAAAAAAACAAACACCAGCAGGCAGAAAATTAAGATCCTAAGGAGAAATCAACAGTCAAACTGCAAAAACAAACTTAAAATGAGGAAATCATTCTTAAATCAAGTGTATTTGCCCTTAATTTAAGATAATATGCACTTAAAATAAATAAATATATATATATAGTACAACAACATTAAAGTCATTTTTTCTAGAAATTAAGCGTTTTCCTTTTGCTCTGATCAGGTAAGTCAGTCAGTTTTCCAAGAGAATAAGAATAAAATGTGCATTGTTTTATTTACAGTGCTTCATGTCTGATCTTATTTGATCATTCCGGGTTAAAGTTGAGCTCATCCTGCTCCTTCGCTGTGTTTCTCTGCTGGTTGCATTTGGCCTCCTCACAGATTAGAAGCAGTTTTCTTAACTTCCTCTGACTTCACCTCTAATCGAATTGTTTCCACACAGAACAGAAGCTCCATTGAATCTCTCTGCTGCACCACCTCTGCAGCCCAAGCTGACAAGTCTTCTTTGTTTCCCGTCGGGGCGAGAGAGGGAGAAGCAGCACATCTGGATTCATGACTCTACACCCAGCTCTCCGGTTTCACCTCCACCATTACCAGCAGGAAAAAGGTTTATGGAGCAGAGTCCTGCAGACGTTCACGCCTGATTTAGAGGGTTCAGCTTGTGCAGCTCCTCTCATTCCTGCAGCCGTGTCAGACAGGCTGAAGGGGAAAGAAAACATCAACTCTGTCCTCGCTGAAACCACCATTATGCTGTGGTGCTGATCCTCACACCAGCAGCTGTGTGCATCAGCGAAGGGGGATTATAAACAGGCTGGAGTGTTGAAGATCAGTTACCCTGGGGGGTTAAAGGCAGAGAAAAGCCCAGACGATCTAAACACCTTAAATTAAGTGCATTTCCCCTTGATTTAAGCAGGTAAATTAGATGATCTACCAATGGAATTAGTTTTTCTACTCTTACAATAAGACAATCAGATGATATGCATTTGATTTAAAACTTAAATTGGATAGTTTTTTTTCTAATTTTAAATGTAAATTGTCTTGTTCCATTTCCAAAGTGTCTCACTCACCTCCTCAATCCAAGAACAAATGACTTATTTAACCTGAAAAAAGGTCCAGCACTGCAAACATGTAAATCTAAGAAAGTCAATCTTTTTTTATTGAGGATAAAGTGAGACATTTTGCAAATGGAACAACAAAATTTACATTTAGAATAAGAAAAAAAACAAATGCAGTCTCTTATTTCTTGAGCAAAATATCTGTTTATCTTATCCTAAGGGTAAAAATACTCATTCCATTGGCAGATCATCTTATTTCCTTACTCAAATGAAGCGTAAATAGCCTTTTTTTAAGGGATTTTTACTCTTTTTCAGAATGTTTTTGCAGTGACAATGTTCAGAGGAGGGAGATGCTCATCAGAAAAGCTTCAGTTCTGGTCCAAATCAAAGTCTCCATGAAAAGGCTGTCTTTTCTGACTGTCAGCCTGTCATCATGATCAGATGTGAGCTCCGCCTCCCTGAGCTTCTACCAAGCACCATCACACTGGAGAAAATGGAAATCTAAATAAGTTAATTTTTCTTAAAATAAGTGCATTTTTTTCTTGAATGGAACCAAGATTTTTTACTAGCGTTACCTTAAATTTGCAAATTTACAAGAAAAAACATGGAAATGTATTAATTTTTACTTTAAAAACGTCCATGAGGGCATTGTAGCGTCTCATTCCATCGCTAAAGCTGCTAATTAATGATGAGCGTGCTTTATGTAGCACACTATAACGTGCTTTATAATTAGTGTTGCTCGTGGCGGGGCCCCGATCCAGCACTAAAATGGTGGTATCGGTATCAGCGAGTACCAACCAATAGAGCACTGATACCATTTTAAAAGCCAAAAGTTTCTTCAACTATTGTCACCCATTCCAGGTAGGCAATAAAAAGTTCTACTGGATTCACTTTGTTTTAGTCTTTTTCCTGCTTCACAAAGGAAGGCAACGGCTTGTTATGAAGCCATGATGGTGATTATTTTACATCCAAGTAGTCTGCAGTTCTTCATATATACACACACATCCATTTCAGTCAGATGGTATCGGTATGGGCCGATACTGCACAGCCAGGTATCGGGGCCAGAAAATACCATCGGAGCAACAATATCATTTACATTTTTTTTTTTTATAATTACATTGTCTGATTTGAAGTCCATATTATCTAATTATCTTATGCTAAGAGTGAAAATTGTTAGGACTCCTGTCTGTGTGGTTTTTATGTTTGGTGTGTTTGTCTCCCTTCCTCCACCAGGAGGCACCTGATTCTGGTTCGCCTCCTCACACACCTGCTGATGGTTTCCTCGTTAATGGAGTGTTCTTAAGCTGCTGACTGCCACTACCTCGATGCCAGAGTGGTTGCCAGTTTTGGGTACTCTAGTCAAGCTGAGTTTTGCTGAGTCAAACTGAGTTTTTGTCTCCCTGATTCTTAACCTTGTTATTTTGTCTTTGCCTCTCGGCAGGAAGTCATCCTGCAACTGGATGTTTTCTGACCTTCTCTCCCTGGAAGGATCAACTGAGCTTCAAACTGAGCTGGGGATTCAAACTGGAGGTTTGGATCTTCTTTCCTCCAAGGGATCGTTTGAGCTTCACACTGAGCAAAGGATTCATCTCCACATCAACCCGTTCAAGTACCGCAGGAAATCTAAGTGGCAGTCAGTTTCAAACAACCGCATTCTGGGTAAACCCTGTCCGCCCTCCACCGAATGAGACAAACACTGGAACTACAGCACACAGACTGGAGTGAAGAAGAGTCAACCACTGTTCTGGAAACGTGAGTCAGCAATCTATTTCTCCTCTTCAAGTTCGAGAATCTAATTTCCCACTGAGCCTGAACTAATCACAGTGTCTTCCCCTCACTTTCCAGTTCCGGTTGAGCAGAGTTCAGAGCAACACTGGAATCCTCACAATCTCCTCAATAAACCTGTTAAACTTTTTCCCTGGCATCTCTGCATGTGGGTCCGAGCTCTTGATAAAATCACGATAAAAATACTCATTCCATCCATCGGCAGGTCATATTATTTACCTGCTGAAATGAAAGGGAAATACACTTGATTTAAGACATTTTTACTTATTTCTAGATGGTTTTTGCAGAGCAGCACCCATCCGCCTCCTCCCATCAGGAGTAAAGGAGGAAGGTCAGAAGGTCACATCATCCCTGAATCTCTCCTTCATTTCAACCTTCATTAGATTAGAAGATCTAAACCAAAACTGTTCGATCCTCGTTAGGTGCTAAAGCCAGCCGGAGCAGAGACCCATAGAAACGCCAGACGCTCCTTCATCAGCCGGTATGATGTCATCAAATGAAACTACACAGTAAACACTGCAGAAATGATCTTAAAATCAGTAAAAATGTCTCAAATTAAGTGTATTTACTCTTTATTTGAGCAGGTTAATAAGATGATTTGCCAATGGAATGAGTATATTTAGGCTTAAAATAACATATTTAGATATTAGGCTCTTGAAATAAGAGACTGCAGATATTTTTATTGAAAAATTATATTATTAAATGTAAATCATCTTGTTTCATTGGCAAAGTGTCTCACTTGCCTTCTCAATTCAAGAAAAAGGCACTTATTCTGAGAAACATTGGTAGTAACCCTATCTTTTACAGTACATTAATAACCTGGTAATAACATAGAAAGTTATATTTTATTATGAGGTAACAAGAAAAACTTTGTGGAGAATTTGGGTAAGTGCTGTGCTTCAAATTTTAGGCAGACGAGGTAAAGTCAGACTTCTTAGAATTCAACCGTTATTAGCAGGTAACTCATTCATTTCTGAGACAGCAATAAATTAATGTGTTATTATCTGGTAAAATGGATTTTATTACTTAGTATATAACAGAAAACCAAACCTAGAAGACAGCAAGCCTAATTCCTAAATATGCTCTTATTTATGTCACTTGAGTTCATTTTTATAATGCTTTATTTACCTGATCAAAAGTTCCAATGTACTTTGTAAGCCTTTGGTAGGTGGTGGCCAATAATAGAAACTATTATGTGGTAAACTAATGTAAATTACAATGTTACATGGTAACATATAATTGTAATAATTACATGCGGCTTATTATTTTTGAAATAATATACCTTAATCTTGGGGTAATTACCCAAAAAAATGTTTTTCTTATCATCAAGTACTATAGTGTGACTTTCTATGTTATTACCATGTTATTGACGGTTATTGATGTACTGTAAAATAAAGCGTTGCTTCGATTGAATTTATTTTACAGTGAATATCCCTGATAGAAATGCTAACCTTTCAATAAACCTAACCAGCTGCTCCGTAGGTCCTGCTGGTTGGAAGGTTACAGCTTTGGCTGAATGAGTTTCTGAAAAGCTTTTCTGTTGTTGATGAGCAACATTTAAGCTGCAGTTCAGGTGAAACCAGGGGCATAGCATGATGGGGGGCCAGGGGGGGGCATTTTTCCCTCTAATACAGACGGTGACAGCAGTTTTACTCTCAAGTCGAATATTAAAAACATTTCAATTTTTCATATTTTAAATTTTTTCATATATTCATAATTACTCGACAACAAATGGTTAATTATCCTCATCAATATACTAACATTAAAGGTGATAAATACAGACTTCATGCTCTTTTCAGAACTAGATTTTGTCTCATGGTGAAAAGTCTCTGCAGGCCATCTAGGAGTCTTCAGTGAATTCGGAGAGAAATTACTATTTTCGTTCGTCCGTTTCAATCTAATTTAAGGCTTTGTTGGTCTTCTCTATAAAACCTGGAACTAAACGCTATTTCTGACATTGGGAATTGAAAAAGCTTCCTGGATGGAAGAGAAACGTCTTCAAAGTTGGAAACAAAGTCCAGTGGATTGATTTTAAATTTTTTGACCTGGATGACAGAGAACCTTCACCAGCTCTCTGGTTCTTTACAGATTCTCTCCAAATTGTCTCTTTATTCAAGTTTGAAATATCATCGTATTGAATCAGACTTTTCCTTGTTTTCTCATTTTAATAACAAAGCTATGGTGACGTCATGAATGTGATCTTTGAGAAGCAGAGCAGCAGAAAGTGCAAACAGGAGAATGTTGAAAAGGAGGGGGGTTTTGGGGGGTTTAAGGAGGTAATGCATCCTAATTGCTGCCAGGCAGCTCTCTGCAGGGGCCCCGGCTGAGCTGTGAGTGGGGCCTAATAGGTATGTTTATGTTCTCTTTGTCTGCAGCGGGACGGATCCCTGCACCCCCCCGTCTGCAGTGCGTCGGCTCTGAGGGGCGTCAGCTCACAAGAAAACATTTAGACGAAAACAGGAGGATTTGGGGAAATGAGAATAAAATTTGGAAGTGAAGCATTTTGGAAACCTCGGATTTTCTGGACCATTAAATGAAGAGTGATGCGAGGCTGAAATGAGCTCTTTAGGGGGGGATTAGGTAAAAGGCTTCACCCCCCCACCACTAACTCCTGCTGTGCTATAAGCATTTTAAGCACTGCAGCTCTAAAAACACTGCGCATTTAACAGTTTGCAGCTGAAACACCAAATTTTCCCCACTGTGGGACAATAAAGGCAGTTTCTATTCTATTCTATTTCTCCACCTTTTGCTCCACAGTCTTGTAGGACAGTTTCTCCTGATCTTAAAGCTCCAGGAAGTTTAGAATAAGTTAGATAGATTGTTGCCTTGTCTAACCATAACTTCATCGACTCCTGATGAACATACTGATTTAGATCCTTAAATGTCACCATGAAAACATGTCTACCCCCCCTAAGACTGGTAGATCCTCAGATCTTCGGCTGTTGTTTCTGACCCGCAGAGGAAGAACTAACGTTTAGGTGGGGAGGATTACCTGAGGCTCTTAGCTTTCCAGCCTGGATCTGTTTGTTCAGGTTAACGATGTTAATTAC